AAAAAAAAAAAAAATTTTAGAGTTTTTTTCAAACCGGCCCAGCTCACGTAGATCTGAATATTTTTCCGAAATATTAAGGCGGAAGTCTTTAAATAAAATATATTTTATAGTTCCGCTAACAAATCGCCACATTTCTTGATGTGTGTGCACATAAGTAAGCCAACGACATTATGAAAAAGTTTATGGAAATAAGAAAGTAATTCAGATTTTAATCAATGCTGCTGTCGCCACTTTTCTCAAACAAATTTGCATACAAATCCAAATATGGCAACATAATGCACACAAATTACTTATTATTAACTAAGATAAAGAAACAAAATTCGCATTCCAAATGCAATTATAATCGTTACAAATTATTTTCTTTTCTCCCCTTCCTGCTACGTGTGACTTCAATCAATGTTCACCGCCCAATTTCAAGCCATGAGTAAGCCCACAACGCCTAGCTTCCGTGGAAATAGTTACCTGATCTTGCCGCCACCCCGCATACCAATGAAAGACAAACGCCGCGGCCCATCCATGTACGTACGACCACGCGAAGCCATGCAAGTTTCATTGAATTTCTCCACAATCGAACCTGATGGCCTGCTGTTGTGGAGCGAACATGATCGTAATAAGTTTTTAGGTTTGGGCTTGGGAAATGGTCATCTGAAAATGGCTAGCAATTTGCTGGATTCAAATAATGATACTGTGGAGATGCCATCGACTGGTTTCATTGCGGACGGCAGCTGGCATTTGGCAAAGGTCATAATGGATCGCAACCGTTTGGAGTTGCAATTGGATGGTGAAGTGATATTCTCCGAAAAAGTATTGGATGCAGCGGCGTCGCCGGGTTCAGCATTAGCAACAACACAGCGCAGCTTTTTGACGACGCGTCGTTCGTTTGCGACGCGACGTGGTAAGGAGCCGTCAATTACCTATGAGGATGTTTTCTATTTGGGTAAGTTTAAATGAATTTTATAAATAGAGTAAAACAATGAAGGGAATAAAATTAGTCTGATGGTGAAATGTTGTTTAAATATTGACTATGTTCCAAATAATAAAAATCGCAAGATCATCCCTTGGACATATCGTGTCTTCTAATAACATTTAACTCGTCCATAATATTGGGTTTCCACGACTGATTTGTGTTAGGGATCAGAGCCAGTTACTTTAGCCTGTCAAAAAATGTCAAGCAACAATCAAGATTCCACTAAGGAATGGCGTGAGTAATTTTAAATCCGTTTGGAGGGTACCAAATTCCCCTGCCTGTAGGAAGTGCTCTAATAATCTTCACTACCGTGTTATTGAACCTGCCGTAGTTGCCATCAAAGTCGGCACCATCTATCTGAGTACAAAAGACAGTAAGGTCAATACCTTCGTTGAAGGAGTGAAGGCGATAATTATCCATTAAAGTCGCGTATATAAAACAACTCTTTGGGCACGTCTGCAGCACTCTTTTCTAGCTCTCGGACATGAGCTAAGATAAGATAAAATCAAGGATATGGCAGAAACAAGAGAGACCACGACCTAAAAGGTCTTTTGCATCTCCAAAGATTGTTCACAACCCAGTTTACCTAAGATACTCTCGACTTCTACTAAAAGCGCCCTGGTAGACCAGTTTCTCAGTTCTAAAGGGTTGACCAAAAAGGTTGACTAGACAACTTGTCAGCGACCTCGTTACCTTCTATCCCACAGTGGCCCGGCACATAGCAAACATTTACGGTATTTTTAGCTGCTAAAGTTTGAAGCGTGTTAAATCCGTCTTTTGGATTTCATCATCCTGTTTGAAAGGGGCCCGTACGGCTACTTGGCTATCTAAAAAGATAACCAGAAAGTCGCCCTTCAAACCCTTTTCAAGGTTTAATTTGGCGCAGGTTGGAATTGCGGAAACCTCAGCCTGGAACACTGTAGGCCATCTGCTCGTAGTAATTTCGACAAAGACAGGAAGTCCGTTTTCCCAATCGTTGCAATCTGGGAGTTTCACTTGGAACTATCTGCCAAAGCATATCTCTTTGGTTGGTTGGAGCCAGAAACTCGGCATATTTCCAAACCTAGTATCTTCCTAAGAATACCAGCGTGAAGTTTTTTTATATGGAAGCAGTCGCCGGATGCTTTAAATTGCAGCCAAATATCTCGTAGCTGCTCTTTCTTGAATAAAAATTTGGAGAGCAGGCCATCCTACAAGCGACTCAAGAACCGCAGTTGAGCAGGTTCTTATCGATCCAGTTGCGCAGAGATATTCCATTCATTGTAGATGATGACTGAAGGCAAGTTAGAAGAGGAGTCGAGCACAACTGCACCTATTTCTTACTTCAATTTTTCAACCATATACATGGCACAATACATAATCGTCTGCTCAACCGTTCTCAGAAGAAATACTCATATGGGCAAATCTAAAAAACAGGTAACCTTGGTGTTATTTAGCTTTATTTTCACTGTTGGAAACTATATCAAGCTGGTTGCTTTTGGATATAATTCACTGACGTATACTTGAAGCCTCAAAAAAAATTTGGATCAACTTGCTGCATAACTTTTGAGTTATAGGTGTTTAAATTTAAAAAAATTATGAAAACAAGTGAATTTTTTATGTAATTTTTAAGAGGGGCAAAATTAATTTTATCACAACTTTTGAAGCACACCATATTCTGACTTGAAATTTAATGGGCATTTAGCACTTATATGTATACTTCATATGTAGTAGGTAAGAAAAGTGTGCATTACAAAATAACGAAATGGCAAGTAAGTCAAAGTCTGTAACTCCACGTTTCACAATTTTCAAAATTTTCGGTTTATCGCGTATAGTTTTTGAAGCATTTTATTTTAAGAACTTCTTAAGTATGTGTTGTATTCTACAAACAATTACGAATAATTTGATACCTTAGCGAGAGGTGTGCTTTCAGAATAAACTAACTTTTAAAGATAAAATATTCTGCGATCTTGAGCGTAATTTTTATTCCAAAAACACCTTAATTGAAGGCACATTTGTAAAATACGTCGAAACGATGTAAATCTTTCTATAACTGCTAGTCCTTATAACGTTGCATATACCTGTAAAATGCTTCAAAAAATTGTTCTCTAGAAGTGTTTAAAGACCCCGATTTAGTACTTTTAATTATGCTCCTTCTTGTAGTCAGAATATTTCGAGCGTGGTATCAAATCGAATTTTTTTCGACAAAAGTCCTGATAGTTGCTCTTACTTAATTGGAGCCTTTTAAATTCAATGGCGTCCCCAGTTTTGCCCTATTGTCTCCACTTTTGGAGATAGTGGTACTTGAAACTTTGCTTAAATTTTAACTATTTTATAAAAAAAGTCCCTGAGTTTTAAAGATATTTTAGTAAAATTTTGCACATGACCATTTTTTAATATTACCTTAACTATTCCATAAAATCATCGAAATCGGTTCACTAAAACATCTAGCTCCCATACAACTGATTGTTCAGAGACGTTGTTTTGCGTTATAACTCCTCCAATTAAACAGGTTAAAATTTAGTATAGGTTCAATTTAACATATAGCACGCATACAATTTATTATTCAGATATGAAGTTAGAGTTATGGCGCAAAAACGCATATCTGATTAATCAGTTGTATTGCAGCTATACGTTAAAGTGCACCCATTTCGATAATTTTAAGGAATAATTAAGGTAATATTAAAAAACTGACATGTGCAAAATTTTAGTAAAATAACTTTAAAACTGAGGCAGTTATTTATAAAATAGTTAAAATTTGATCAAATTTTCAAATACCGTTATCTCGAAAACCGGAGCCAATCTGGTAAAACGGGGGATGCTATTGAATTTAGAACGTCCCAATTAAGTGAGTTCAACTTTCAAAATCTCTGCTCAAAATTTACAACTTCAACAACGTAATTTGAACCCAGCTTATTCTTTTGTTTTCTATTTCATGTTTATTCCTCGTCTAACTTTTGAAGCACTTGATTAAAATGAATTACACTTATATTAATCGATTTACTAAGAGAATACGAATAAAATGATATATAAAACCTAGGTGTGCTCACAAATTTAAAAATTAAAGATTTTTTTTTGAGGTGTACCTATTTTTTAGATTTGCCCATATAGGATTTGTTCTTAAGGATGATAGGCGGCCCGGGGACCTAAGTACGTCGGGGTAAGTGTTTAGAATGTTGGTGTGTCCAAATCAAGGGTAAAGCAAAAAGGTTTACTGGCAGTAAGTTACGTAAGGTTTCTAGGGCTTTGGTAGACGTGATGGACGAAGGACCAGTGGTAGCGAGTATGCTGCTCTTTGAACCTTAGTTACCCACTTATCCAGTGAGGTCCACCAGACTCTGACGGCGTAGAATAAGACGGGACGTACAACGTTCAGATAACTATCTGCCTACGAAGATTTTTCAGACGTAGAGGGTGATAGCGGCCAATCTGATCCGCTCTTCCACATTGCGCTTCCAAGTCAACCTCCTGTCCAAAATAGTGCTGGAACATGCATACGCATTTATCACGAATAAGCAAATACGGGAAGCTTGTATGACTTCCCTCTACCTGTGGTCCGAATTCCTACCTCGCCTGAGTTTGAGGACTACTAGAAAGAGCGTTTCTTGTGTAAGTACTTACCTCCTACATACCTGTATTTCTCGAATGTTCTGAAGCTTCTGTTAACCGGTAATCCTTTCACGCCACAAATAAATGCATAAAAACAAATCTATCAAAAATGCTAATGCACTGATCTTAAATACCAATGCTGTACATGTAAATGATCATAAACCATAAAAATTCATCTTTGCTGCTACTTCACATGGGACCACCTCTTACCTTTCTCTCTTTCTTCTTCTAGCGCGCGCCGATGACAAAAATTCCAACACGCGCGCTGCAATTTTTAACTTTACGAGCCAACAAAAGTTCGAAAAGTTAGAAAGTTGCCATAAATATTCAAAAATCTTCTTTGTTTGTTTGTTCGCTCGCTCGTTCAGCGTATAACGTTAAGCACTTTAAGTGTCATTCACGCAAACTCACAGAGCAACGATGTTGTTTAAAAGCCTTTCAATGCAATTTTTTTGTATGCGTCTTACGAATTTATTGGCATTGTTTACTTGTTTGTCACAAGCCAAAAAAACGTCGATGATCGGCGATCGTTCGATCGATCAACGACTTCTTCTTACTAACTTTTTAAAACAATCAACAGCTGCTGGCGAAATTCCCATATACTAACTACCAGATAGTAAGCCGCTCACATAGGCCCACAAGGTAGCCTATGTACATATGTAGGTATGTAAGTTGCTGGCTGGCTGGCTGCCTACCGAGTTGGCTGTCTGGCCGGCGAATTCGCACATTCACTTGCGCGTTGCACTTTTTCTTCTTCCCTTGACTACATGCGAGTGACTTAGCAGAGCCGCCATTGCCGCAATCACTTTGGTAATTCTCATAAACCACTTTTTTTGTAACTTTGCCTTCTTGTTGTTGTTGTAGTGATAAGTAAGTATCGCATTTCACTAAGTCAGGTTTTAATTAGGGCCACTTGCTTTTTATTATCTGTTGTATTTTAATTTCACACTAAATTTGCAGACTTTTTGAAAGGCTTTTTGTTTTTCGTTTTAATTATTACCACTTCACTTTATTAATTTTTATACCCGAGCGCACTTGTGCACAAGGGTATATTAATTTTGTTCACATAACGGTTGTTTGTAACAGCCAAAACGAATCGAGATAGATATAGACAAATGTATACATAAATGATCAGGATGAAAAAAGAAATCGATTAAGCCATGTCTGTCCGTCTGTCCGTCCGTCCGTGTACACGATAACTCGAGCAAAAATTGAGATATCCCAACGAAATTTGGTATGTAGGCTTCCCTTAATCCAAGGTAGGTTGGTATTGAAAATGGGCGAAATCGGACTTTAACCACGCCCCCTTCCCATATAACGGTATTTTCCAGAAATACGAAAACTGCGATATTTTAGTAACTACTGAAAATAATTCACTCAAA